TAAAAGAAAGTGATGTGTAACTCATGATCCTTTAGATCAATGTTGGTGAACCTTTTAGGCTTGACATGTCAAAAATTCAGAAAATGCCCAACTTTGCTGTGCTGGCATGTTACACAGGCACACACACACAGCCAAAGAGAATTATATTCTCCCCATTTAGGCCACCTTTAACAGTAGCATGTGGAGGCAGTGCTAATGCTAAGCCCCAAATAGAGGCCTGGGGCTCAATTTTAGCCCTAACCTCACCGCTGCCACTCAAAAAGGCCACCTGGTGTGTTCCCCAATCTGCTGTGTGCTGGTTATCTTCAGTCAGTATTCTCTTTTTGTTGACAGGCCCCTGTAACCTATCCAAGGCTGCTGCGGGTTACACGAGGCCTTAGGTGCTTGGGGCTTCAGAGAATATTCTTTTGCAGCCTCTGAAAACTGGAAGAAAGCACGCCCTGTTCTCACACAATTTTCAGAGAGTCCAGAGACCACGGGGCATATCCCATTCTCGCGTGGCCTCTCCAGCCTCCAAAAATCACACTAGAACAGATCATACTTTCAAGAATAACAGTAGTTGTTAGGTGTATTGTTGAATGCTGGCATGTCTCCCAAAACATTGTGGCATGTCACCATTGAGACCAGTGTCATAGGTGTACTACCACTGCTTTAGATTCTCCCGAATTTCAACTCCCTCCAGTGTAGCCAGCATGCCAATAATGAGGATTTCTATGATGGTCAGTTTATCAATCTCTAGTCTAAAACTTTCCATTAAAACACAAATTTTAGGCTTATACCAAACTACTATATGTCATTCTGACCATTTCTGCTTCACTTGTTTTCATGGTCACTTGTTTCTACTTTTTCAAAATAGAAACAGCCCCTTGGAAAACAAAGAAGGAATCAAATATTATAGAAAATACCAGGCACCTTTTTGAGGCAGAAGCATAACAGATACCCCCGTTCCTTTAATTTTTATTTTACTTGTTAAATATCTTTTCTCAGATTACTGCTGATGCTATACCTGAGTACTTCTCACAAATGTATTACTAAATAACTGTTTCTTATTACTACATGCTACATTTTTCTTAATACCTGGCTCTTTGCTATTTTTTTTCTTTGTCCTAGAAGATAAAATCTCCATGGCACCCTCATTAAATCTAGTGCTTTAGTAATTCTTCTCATGTTGCTATTATGGACAAGTGAAGGCAGTTTCCTGGAATTTGTCAGTCATCTTATTCCATGTTTATATGTTACTGAGATGGCATGTAGACAGAGCCTTTTATCCTGTCTGAACATCAGAAGCCTACCTCTCATGAATTGAATTTGGAATGTGGGTGACCTTAATACTTTCATTTTGCTGTCCTGCACTTATATTTGATATCTGGTATTTATTGGTTATGTAAACTGAATATTTCTTTCACTAAACATACTAGACTAGATTTTAATTCTCAACATTTTCAAAATGCAAGGTAACTTATCAATTTTATGCTGCATGAATTTGCATTGCAAGGCATTCTAGAGTCTCATTAACCTATCCCAGACTCAACAGACAACACATACAAATACTTTGAAAGGGAAGAAAATCAATAATGAGTCGTAAAATAGCAACCACATCACAGCATTCAGAACAGCCAGAATTCTAGAACAGTGCTAGTTGAAACAGCCAAGTTTTGTTCCACTTTGAGATCAGCTTTCCTCTGCATTCTTTAGCACATACACATTTAGAAGAGGCAGTCAGTTTTTTCCCCTCCATTGGACTTTGTAGCTGCAGAAACAAAATTTATGCTGCTTCTACTGCTTTCTAAGTGCAGTGCAGAGTAATATTTATGTTCTGTTTGTCACATAACAGTCTTTTCCTTTCAATTATAGGTAGTCCTCAGTTACATTACAGTGCTGCTGAATGAATGGTACTTACATCTGTTATGGCCACGGCAGCTCCCCCATGATCACGTAATCAAACTTTGGGTGTTTGGCAGCCCACCTACACTTACAACTTCATGTCTCCTCATCCACCTATCTCCCCTCCCCGACAATCTCTGCCCTTGTGGCCACTCTGCTCAGTGGCATTCCTTGGTGACAGTGGTACGGAGGTTGAAGTAGACCTGGTTATCTCCGAGACCGCCTTCTGCCACAGATTCCCTCCCATAGACCGGTACGCTCCCACAGAGTGGGCCTCCTCAGGGTGCCGTCGGCCAGGCAGTGTCGGCTGGCGACGCCCAGGGGGAGGGCCTTCTCTGTGGGTGCCCCCGCCCTCTGGAACGAGCTACCCCCCNCCAACAAGCTGGCCTGGCCTAGGGAGGATTTTAAATCGGGTTCATTTTTTAGAATATTTTAAATAACACAACTCTGAAATATTTATTCTTAATTGGTTTTATTGGGTGGGGACTGTATGTTTCTGTTTTTAAATATGTTGTGAGCCGCCCTGAGTCCCCGTTGGGAGAAGGGCGGGATATAAATCAAAAATAAAGTAAAAGTAAAGTAAAAGAAGCCCAGGACCTTCAGCGGTCTCAGCCAGCCAAGAGGTCAATGTCACGTAGGGCCGGGAGCTTTACCGATACCAAGGGGAATGTCAAAGACACATTGCCTACTTCTGCCCTAGCATCTCGGTAGTAATTATAGCTAATTCAGATTGCTTCTTTGTAAGTATGAAGTTAAGATGTGCTTCAGTTAGTATCAGTTTGCACTTAACTCTGATCTGTTGTCCTCTCAATTACAAGGCTTAATATTTGGTGGAATCCAAATATAATTTCTGCTGTCATTGAAAAATATTCACCAATTGATTAAGCTTGCTACTAATTACAAAGGCAAAAAACATAGAATTGTATTGTATTGGCATGATTAGCTATGCTCTTAAATTGTTAGAGGAAGCATCTTTATCCATGGTGATGAAAGACCACCCATGTGGCTTAATTTGCTTCATTTTTTCCTGGATTAAACAGAAGGTTAGAAGACTTGTTACTGGAATGCCAGGGGTACTGGACAAAAGGTTGTATGTGCTGTACTTTGAAGCCGTGTCTCAATTATCAGTGAGATGTAATGGTTAGGGAGTTGAATTAAAACTGGGGAAAGTGAGAATTAGGTTTAACCACAACCAAGGTTGCTTTATGGGTAGCTTTCAGTAAATCAGTCCTCCTTAGTCCACTTGCCTATAGGGTTTTATTGTGAGGAGAAAATGGGCGGAGGGAGTAATATCTCTACTGTTCCTGGAGACAAGTCAGTATATAAATAAATTATTTGAACAAGCAATATTGCTATTGTAGACTGAATTTAACTTAAAATTGTACGCTGCTTAATATGGGAGAGGTTAGTGGTCTATCTAGCCTTTTTTTATTGACATTGCTTGGCAGACACTTTCCTTCTTTCAGGCCTTCTTTTATGCCCAGGAGTAAATTTGGGACCTTTGGCTGTCGTAATATGTGCTTTATTATTGAGTGACAACCCTTTTCTGTAGTAAATAGCAAAAATCTCAAGCCAGGCATTTGTGTCTGTTTTTTTATGTGTTAATTTTTTTTATCTGGTGGTGAGTGTCTCAATTTCACAGAGGGAATGATATCTGGAGCTTTATTTGACCTTTTATCTATATTTTAGGCTGCCTGCGTGAAAATACGTGCTTTTCTTTGGAAATTCTTGTGATCCATAACAATAATATGTAACTTTGCTAGTCTTTTTCTGGAAACTTGGGTGTAGAAGAGCACCATGTGTATTTTAGATTTTTCCTTTTGAACAATTTACCAATGTCCGTATAACCTGATCTGGACAGTTCTGCAATTTATTTCAGCAATGAATGTTAACACCTTGTTACTTACATTTAAGACAGGGTGTTTTTGTTTTACTTACATTGTACTTTTCCTTTAAAAAGTTTGCTTTTGCTTACGCTTTGTGAAACTGGCTTAGCTTACAAAAGTCAATAGGAAAGGGTGAATCCTGTCCCTGTGCCTCTAAACTTCAGAGTGAAATGTTTGCATTATGACTGTTTAATTGCCGGAATAATAGCAAAAGTCATAAAAGTCCTACCTCTCACACAAAATAGGTTTAGGAGCTGGATAGGTGGTGGTAACAGGGACTACCAAACTCTTGTCCCAAAAATAGTAAATAAACAAGGATACAAAGACACAGAAGGCTTCCTGAAGAAGCCTCTAGCCCAGTGATGGCGAACCTATGGCACGCGTGCCAGAGGCAGCACTCGGAGCCCTCTCTGTGGGCATGCGCGCCATGCCCCGGAGATGGCAACTGTCCCTCTTCAACCAGCTGCCCGCTAATTCGCCAAAGTCCCACGTGGCTGGATGCATCCCAGCATGGCTGGTTTCCCTCCCCCCGTCCCATCCCTCCTGGCCTCGCATGCTCTCCTTTTCCTGGGCATGACCCACTGCATCGCCTCCTCAGCTGTTAGCCATCTGTCCAGCTCAGAGGCAGCTTCTCTGAACTTCTGGTGGCGGGCTGTGGAGCCCCAGAGTGCGCCGGTCGAGAGGGCGGCAGGCTGTGGCTGCTGATTGACACTATTGGCCCCAATGTGCTCGCTGGCCTCTCTGTGTGGGGGTCGATGGTGTCAGGCAGCAGCAGCCCCTGCCTCGCCCTACGACAATAGCACCCCAGCCCTGCCTTGCCTTGCCTCGCCTCACCCCGCAGGACGAGCCTCCTGCCCACTGCCCCACCTGCCAGAGACCCCCTGGATCTCTCTGAATCCTGCCCGGCCCCCACAGGCATCCCTCCCCATGAGCAACATCGAGGTGACCATGCCCACCTTGGCCACACCCACCCAGTCTGCCATGACCACCACAGCACGCCCACCCAGTGGGCCATGCCCACCTGGCACCTGGTGATAAATAAGTGGGTTTGGGGTTGCAGTTTGGGCACTCAATCTCTAAAAGGTTCGCCATCACTGCTCTAGCCATTTTCCCTGCAGATTTCACCATCAGCCACACTATTTGAAAAAGTTTAAATTTACAATCTTCTGAAAAATTTAAGGATTTCAATTAGAATAGCAGGTTTCTGAAGCAAATGTATTTCTACCTCAGTTTCCTAGACTTTTCCAGCTTCTTGCAAAAACAAACTGTTACTCAGAGATTGATGAAGAGATGGAAAACCTTGCTCTTTTCCAGCCACAGTCCACAGACTTCTGGTGAGTTCTTTGTTGTAAAAGGGTCAACCTTTTGTATTTATAGGAGAGGGAGGGGCTCAGGCAATCTGACTCTGCACATGATTAAGAGCCATGTGTCCCTGGGGAGGGGGGGGGAATGTATGTTGTATCTGGCAAGCAAGTTACAGTCACAACAGCTACATTCTGAGTATGAAAGGCTGGAATCCTTCAGTTAAAGAGTTCTGTATCTTTTATGTAGTCCTCGACTTACAACCACAACTGAGCCCAACATTTCTGTTATGTGAGACATTTGTTAAGTGGTTTTGCTCCATTTTACGACTTTTCTTGCCATAGTTGTTAAGTGAATCACTGCAGTTGATAAGTTAGTAACCAGGGTGTTAACTGAATCTGGCTTCCCCATTGACTTTGCTTGTCAGAAGGTTGCAAAAGGTGATCACATGATCCCAGGACACTGCAACCGTCATAAATATGAGTCAGTTGCCAAACAACTGGATTTTCATTGCATGATCATGGGGATGCTCCAAAGGTTGTAACTATGAAAAATAGTCATAAATCACATTTTTCAGTGCTGCTGTAACTTTGAATGGTTACTGCAGTGAGGAAAAAAAGTATTTGATTCCCTGCTGATTTTGTATGTTTGCCCACTGATAAAGAAATGGTCAGTCTATAATTTTAATGGTAGGTTTTTTTTACCAGTGAGAGACAGAATAACACAAAAATAATCCATAAAAATGCATTTCAAAAAAATTATAAATTGATTTGCATTTTAATGAGTGAAATAAGTATTTCACCCCTGCGCAAAACATGACTTAGTACTTGGTGGCAAAACCCTTGTTGGCAATCAAAGAGGTCAGACGTTCCTTGTAGTTGGCCACCAGATTTGTGCACATCTCAGAAGGGATTTTGTCCCACTCCTCTTTGCAGATCCTCTCCAAGTCATTAAGGTTTTGAGGCCAACGTTTGGCAGCTCAAACCTTCAGCTCCCTCCACAGATTTTCGATGGGATTAAGGTCTGGAGACTGGCTAGAAGCACCTTAATGTGCTTCTTCTTGAGCCACTCCTTTGTTGCCTTGGCTGTGTGTTCTGGGTAATTGCTATGCTGGAATACCCATCCATGACCCATTTTCAATGCCCTGGCTGAGGGAAGGAGGCCCCGTCCATCGTCCCTTTGATGCGGTGAAGTTGTCTTGTCCCCTTAGCAGAAAAACACCCTCAAAGCATAATGTTTCCGCCTCCATGTTTGATGGTGGGGATGGTGTTCTTGGGGTCATAGGCAGCATTCCTCCTCTTCCAAACACGGCTAATTGAGTTGATGCCAAAGAGCTTGATTTTGGTCTCATCTGATCACAACACTTTCATCCAGTTCTCTGAATTATTCAGATGTTCATTGACAAATTTCATAGGGGCCTGTACATGTGCTTTCTTGAGCAGGGGGACCTTGCAGGCACTGTAGGATTTCAATCCTTCACAGCATAGTGTGTTACCAATTGTTTTCTTGGTGACTATGGTCCCAGCTGCCTTGAGATCATTGACAAGACCCTCCCATGTAGTTCTGGGCTGATTCCTCACTGGTCTAATGATCATTGAAACTCCACGAGGTGAGATCTTGCATGGAGCCCCAGACCGAGGGAGATTGACAGTTATTTTGTGTTTCTTCCATTTGCAAATAATCGCACCAACTGTTGTCACCTTCTCCCCAAACTGTTTAGCAATAGTCTTGTAGCCCATTCCAGTCTTGCGTATATCTACAATCTTGTCCCTGACATCCTTGGACAGCTCTTTGGTCTTGGTCATGATGGAGAGTTTGGAATCTGATTGATTGATTGTTTCTGTGGACAGGTGTCTTTTATATAGGTAAAAAGCTGAGATTAGGAGCACTCCCTTTAAGAGAGTGCTCCTAATCTCAGCTTGTTACCTGTATAAAAGATATCTGGAAGCCAGAAATCTTGCTGATAGATAGGGGATCAAATACTTATTTCACTCATTAAAATGCAAATCAATTTATAATTTTTTTGAAATGTGTGTATCTGGATTTTTTGTTGTTATTCTGTCTCTCATTGTTAAAATAAACCTACCATTAAAATTATAGATTAGCCATTTCTTTGTCAGTGGGCAAACATACAAAATCAGCAGGGTATCAAATAATTTCTTCCCTCAGTGTAAATGAACTGTTGTAAGTCGAGGCCTATTTCTATGTCCTGTACAAGTTTTGGTAGCATATGGACAACAATCACAAGACAATTTCTAGATAGTATAACTATATGGCATGTTAGTCAAAATATTCAAAATTGTTTGATATTTTCAAAGAGTGTTGAATGTACTATGAATACAAATAATTTAGAATAGTGTCAAACTGCCAGCCTGCGGGCTGGATGCATCACATGGAAGCTGCGCCCACCCCATTGCCGGCAATGGCAAAACTGTCCCGATACATTGTGCGATGTCATGTGACTCACGAGTTTGACATTTCTGATTTAGAAGGTTACATGTTCTTTATCTCAGTAAAATATATTAACTAAATGTTTGATTGAACAAAATCATGATGGGTGGGGAAGAACTGTTGGCCTATCTGGTAATAATTGCCACACATGTGGAAGATTGAGATTTGGGATGTAAGAAATGGAAAAGGTCATGGATTACTAAAGCCAGGTATATGAAACATTTTTTTAAAAAAAAGATGTAATAAATATTAAAATATTCTGATTCTGTGGAGCAGAGTTGATAAATGCATATAGGGAAGTGAAAGATTTATTTAATTATGAATGAAAAGACTAAAATAACAGAACATGTGATTGATATTAATTAGATTGTGGGCCTGTATGAAAGTAGGAATTTATATGTTGTATATTTTTATGGGAGTATAAATGATGATATTAGAAGAACCAAGGCTGAGTTTTGGTAAAAATTGTGCAACTCCCCCCCCCCAGACATATTCATCTTTCTATCCTCTTTCAAGATAAGCAACGTTGTGCGAATCTTTGAAAAGGAGTATTACAAAAACATTAAAGGCTCAAGATCAGAAAAAGAAACATAGTTAAAGGTAGTTTATTCCAGTGCCCATTTACTCTATAATTTTTCTATTTTCAGGTTATCCTGGTCTAGAACATAACATGTATACGCTGTTCTGAGCATAGAGCAGATAGATTTTGGTGGTCTCTATTTGGACTGAAATGCATATTCTGGGTAGACGTTTTTCCAATAAAGAGTGTAATACTGGTAAAGGAAAAACAGATCTTGGAAGATCAGTGGGCACATATGGGAAGGAGTAGAAAGAATGCAAGATTTATCAACTTTGCCCAATCAAAAAATATGTAATAATGTTTTATTCTGAAATTCATATATGCATGATGTATGAACATCAACTTGAGTACAAAGTTATTTTGTAACAAGAGGGAAGGATGGAAACAAATTAATTACAAAAAAGTGATTGGGCCATTCTCCAGCATGACGAGTGGAGAATCCACCAATGGGTTTTGCTTGTCTTCTGCTCGTATAGACTAAGTCAGCCAAATTGCCACGTCCCTCTTCCTGGGGCCATCCCCCAGTCTCGACTTAGTCTTTTGCCCGACAGGACACACACCTTGGATCTAAAGATCAGGTCGTATTGAAAACTCTTAAAAAATTCTATTTCTAACCTTTCGGAGGCTGGGGGGGCAGTAAAGCAGACAGCGTTGCTAGCTACTTTGCAGCCGAGCGGAGCGACTCTGCGAGGCTTCCCCGAAACCCAGCTGATCTGCAGAGAGCAGACAAAGAGGCCGGTCACCATTTTGGCTCCGCGTGACCTCCGGAGCGGGGGGAACAAATCCTATCCCTGAGCAGAAGGCAGACAGTTCCAACCCACGGCAACAGCTGGACTGCCTATTCGAGGGCTCAGCACCCCAACCGTAGAGGCGGAGCGGACGCAATTAATAGAACTAGTTCGCGACCGCCATTTCAAGCCGTGCGTTCAGGCCACGCTTTTCAAACCGCAGCTGCCAGCCCTGCTCGGACTCCTCAAAGCAAGACGCCGGTAAGCCGCTGCTGGCTTGAACTGGCACTAGACGATCTATTCTAAGTTTTCCTCTTCCCTAAAAGAGAGAATAGGGCCGGAGCGGTTGAACAATGGGAGGGGGAAGGCAGGGAAGCGCGTGCCGCCCTGCTTCACTTACAGTGCCTTCTCAACAGATTAAGGTCATTTCTCGCTCCTACCTAGTCACCTACAGCCCGGCCCATAGGCAACCTACCACGTTATTAAAAAAATAAAAGGAAAAGGAGAAAGAGAAAGAGAAGAGAGGACAAATTGTCTGACCAACACGTGTGAGCGGGAGGTATCTTCAAGGGTGCTATACCTCTGCCAGCAACACAACAAAGGCTGATACAGGAGAGCACAGCGGGTGTCTGTACCATTAATTGGCATTGCCACCGGAACTATTTCCAGTCACTACCAGATTGCTCTCTGGCCTAGACCGGCCCATTACCAAGCCTCTTAACACGAGATTCCTCTCAGTCTTAGCGCTGAGATATCTCTTCTGCCAATGTCAGACACCAATGCTGTTCAGGCAGCGCAGGACTCCTCCATTAGTCTTGGACATAAGAGGCCAAGATCCTCCAACCAGGAAGCGGCGGGTAGGATCAAGGCCAAAGCAATATCTGGCAAAAGATCCTCCCAAGGCAGCGGATAAGGAGGCCAAACGTTGCCACCAGGCTCTGGAAAAAACAATTCTCTAGAGCCGAAAAGAGGCAAAACACAGCAGGAGACGGTCTAGTCCCACCTGCTTACACAGAGAAGGAAATATTTGGCCTGCTGCAGCCTAGTCAGGAACCTCTGGAACAGAGGCTGACGCAGACCAGTCAGACAGATCCCCCCTAAGCGAGGGGCCTAAGAATCCGGGGGCACCCGACGCACACTCAGCAGTAGCAGGGCTTCGTCCCTCAGACAATAAGGGAGCCCTGTCATCAGAACACTTACAATCCCTGATATCTCAGGCCGTTGCTCAGGCCATGGCCTCTTCAAGGCATCATAGGTCTAGAGCCGGGTCTGT